GGAAGCACTGTCTGACGCGTCTGCCTCCGCGACCCGAAAGGAGAAGCGGCGATGGAAGATGAAGATGACTGATATCTCTATTGTTACAAACTCTCCTTGATTTTTTCTACTGTGATGAGTTCCTTTGAGCTTCTATTACACATTTGTCAGCGTTTTACCCATACACCTTTGGCATTCTTCCTGAAGGTTTCGTAACATCAGCCTTTGTCTTGCGGCCTAAACCACTGAATCAGAAAGTTATAGAATTTTCTAAGATATATATTAATTATGCAGGATGCAATGTTGAGTTCGCTGTAAAATAGTATTATTACAGTATAATCTGTAGCATAATTAATTTATTAGTATCTATTTGCCATTCTTTTTATTACACTCTATAAACTGTTCCGTTAACACGGTTATATATTTTCGTGTATTTTATTCCTTTATGCGATCATATCTGAAAATACTTGGTGGTATTGCTCTGACTCCTCATTCCCAGACACTTAGGAGCTAGTGATTCATTTCGCGTGGTTTTTGTTAACTAGAGCGATACCTACTATCTATCTATCGATGACGTTTCAGTAGCTAATGTTCCTGGTATGCTTAAGGTAATATCAAGACATAAGTTTTATGTTTGGCATATTTATTTCTTTTCAATCATGTTGCAGCCGTGTTAAGCAGCTCTGGTGAACGGGAAAACTGAGTATACTGGCATCGTTATCTATGCTTTCTACTTTGGATAGTTCTTTGGACCAACGGATGTGACTTGTGTTGACAAGGAGAGAACAAACATAATGCTGTTCATAAAAAAATATTGCACATGCTGGCGATCAAAAACCGCCTATTTAACGAATGTACCGACTTCTTTCAGCTTGAGTGACAACTGGAATGCCATCGGCTCGCTTGTTAATCGAATAGAGCAAACTGTTGCTGTAACGTTACATAACTGCTTTCATAATATCATGCTGTTTCATCATTTGGTTGCTATTGCCCTGGTAACCTTGCTGCTGCGCAAAGTTGAAAGGGTATTGCTTCGGGCATTTTAATTGTTGCCTTGAATGACTGATCGGAACGTGAAGACCATTAATTACAACTGCACTAACTGATATTACAGTCTACACAGTTATCGTATTAACCATCATTATCACATATGTTGCTCAGGTTCCAGTCATTCCAGCATACATAGCGCTGGATGTACCATGCATCATTTGTTCGTCTGAGCTGTTCCCTCCGTTTATCACGAATGATGTTTCATCACCTGTTACTCCTTATGTGCTACGACATGATCATCAGCATGTATCTAGCAACGCGAAAATGCAAATAACATGGAGTCCTTGTTCACTTGCATGCTATTTCTAAGAAACTAGGAGCAAGGAAGCAGTGCAATTCACCGACAAATCCACTCTTGCGGGAGATACATGTGAACATACTCCGGTTTAAGAATCCATATTTTAAATAATCTTTGCAATAGTTTTTGACGATCGTTCCTACGGGTAATCGTCGAACAAAATCCATTGTAATTAAAGGCTGCGATATAGGTTAGGTTGTTATTTTTATGAAATCTTGCAGTGACTTTAAACAATTTTCATATCCACGTTATTGCTGATTTTGTCTTTCATGCGTTTTACTACTTTTAATAAAAAAAATTCTTTTAGAGATGCTCAACTGTCTTGGATGTGACAATATCAACTCTTTTTTGGAAGATTGTATTAACAAAAAAGAAAATTTGCTTAAGGTATTATTTAATTTTTTGCTATTACGTTTAAAGGTTTACTGCTTTTAAAAGGAATCATCAGAGGTCATCATTTTCAGCAGAGGCATAAAATGGCATGGAAGTGTATGCAACATGTATAAATCAAAATGAGTTTAAAACTATGTACCGCAGTACAATTGTCACCGGCCTGGTGGTTCAGTGTTTTAGAATGCTACAGTTATCACAACTATGGTGGTATATAAATATGTTAGAGTATATTTATGTATTGTTATTCTATTGTAGGTTAGATTGATTCCATTGATTAGTTGAGACCTAGAGAAGTCAGTCTAATTTTCAAGACACACCAATGAAAAAATCAGGTAACTTAAGGCATGTGTGCAATAGTTAGTCCGTTAAATCCGCGGACAATATTCTGTAACTCTCAGTGTCACCAGACGAATTCCAAAAAAAGTTACAAGAGCAAAATAATGCCAGTATCAATGCAGGACTGAAAATTAACCTGAAGAAGACTCAAGTTATGTTTGACCAATATGTGACCTTTTGCGATCTGCTGCAGTTAACCCATTTAGGTTTAAAGTCGTGCAAAGATACGTGTATCTTGAACATTTCATCCCTACAGTGGAGAACCGATTGTAAAATGAATGCTGTTTTTCTATAACGTCATCTTCCTTGTTTTCTTTTAATCTTCTTTTTCCTATACACTTTAATGATTAGCTATTTGTTAATAGTTCATAGCCACCGTCGCCGGCCTCTGTGCGATGTGCTTTTCAAGATATGCCGTTTTATAAATTTCCTGATGATAGTCGCTCTATTTTGTATGCAAATAGGTTATGACATGTTTTGATACTTTCGTTGATTTTGCTACACCTTACTGGTAGTGTGTTTAGGTCATGAGGCTTCTATGCTTGCAGTTTTTGGTATGCGGACGGATGAAGGCAAAGATGCTGAATCAATACCGCAAAGAGATTTTGCAAGTTAGTAGTGGTTTATGTCGAACGTAATGCTGTAACACCTTTTTCTAGTCTTATGGTTATAATCATATGCCGCTACTGCTGAAACTTCAAAAGGCCGGCTTGCTGAACAGAATAGCCACACCGACGACAGCTGCCAACCGTCCTGAAGCCTCAGGTTATCGGGTCATTCGCAAACTCTTTCGGCAGATCGTTGACAACGTGGACGAAAAGGTTCGTTTTGTTGAGCGAATTTATTGAATTCAAGCTGCAAGATTTCGGTACATGTATATCTCACAATCGCTAACTATTGTACTCCAAACACATCGCTGTATCTGAGACGAGTTATGGCTATGATGACATAAGCGTAGCCTACCTCTTCAAGCTTTATTCCACTCAAATAATAGTGACACAAGAATAGCCTCCTCATATAACCATCCGAATACAAAGGATCCATATAAATTTGAATCCTTTCATACTGCGGCAGTGATCAACATTGTCGACCGTTAGGTGAATGCTTACATGGCGAGAGGTGCACTTTATGCTGTGTCGTTTCACTTGCATAAAGATTGTGAAAGCAACGTTTTTAAACTCGACTCATTAATGTAGTAGCCGACATTCAGTTTATCTCTCCCGTGTTCCGTTTCTCGCTAAATCATGCCATGCATAGAGCCTCAAAGTTAGAAAAGCTAAAAAACAAGAAACAGTCTCTTCTCGAAACCCAGACTCCATCTAAATGAAAGCTTAAAAATCTAAATTTCTTTCTAAGAAAACGTTCATATTGCTTGCCAAACATCAAGTGCGCGATTTTTTCTGATCCTTAAGTCAATCTCCCAACTCCAGTACCTGAGTTACAACCTATATCACTACAAGGAGAGCTCTCTCTCACGTTAGACACTTCCCTAAAAAACTATTGACCTACAGCGTATTAATGTACACGTCGATTTTTCAAATTCATTTTTATAACCTATTACAGGCTGTCTTACTAGGCATGTGTTTCATCAGCAGTATGTAAGGTTTTTTGTTAAACAAAAACATTATATCTTCATCTTACATGGCTTCTTCTCTGTTCGGGTCGCGGTGGCACACGCGTCAGAGAGTACTTCCAACCTTCCCGATTTTGTGCCACTCTCTAAGCTTCGGAAGAGGACAATTAGAAGCTAGAGCGGACTCCATCCATATATTTGCACTAGGTTAATCTTCGCCG